ATATATATTACATCTGCGTATATATTGTCTGTCTGTTCCGTTGTTAAAATGGATTTTTATCATAACGGTTGTTTATTTCGAGCAATCCTCATCACACAAAATAAGAAAAGATAATTTATTAATAAAAATATTTACAAATCAATGATAGTGTATCCAATGTATATTGACGACTAAATCTCAATTTTTTCACGTGTTTGTTTTGATGCTTTCATCACGAGCAACAATATGAATCTTTTCTTTATCTATTTTCTCTTATATAAGCTAATTTTTGTTTTTTCAGAAAAAGACAAATTATCTTTATATTATTCTAATGAACTGATTTTGTTTCTAGAATTGCTTCCACAGATTTGCTATTTATTTTTATATTGTATTCGAAATTTGAAAATTTCCTAGTGACACAAAGTAAGAAAGCTCAATTTAAAATTTACGAGATAAATTGCTTAATGTGTTTTTTCTTTCAGCTAATATTTTTACAAATTATAGCACAACATATTTACATTCATCCGGATCGCAAGGATATAACCGAGCGCGTTTGAACAACGCAAGTGGCGACGTCGCGCGGCGATCGCGCATGCGCCAATATGGCCGCCAGCGACGCATGGGTCTGCGCGTCGGTCGTGCTCTCAGTGTCTCTCCGCGCTTCGATACGTGCGTTTTGATTTGTGCTAGTCGGTGCGCCGTTACCTCCCCTCCCCTGCGCAAAGCTGCGAGCCATCGACAGAGTTGAGAGAGTTTAAGTGCTTCGCTCGTTTCTTCCCTTCGGGACTCTTGCACTCCGCGACCGACGTTACGGGAGCATCATGGCCGAGAGTAAGGGCGCGTTAATCGCGAAGACAGTGCAAAAACATGCAGGCAGAGCGAAAGAGAAGGTAAGTGTTCGCGTCTGTTTCTCATTTATCTATCTCTTTCTTTTCCTCTCGTCTCGTTCGTCGTCCTCGAAAGCTCGCGATCGCATTTTCCGATTCGTCCTCGCGAGACAAAAATTAACGCAAGGATTCGCGAGCAACAGGAGTTAACCCTAACCTCCGTGTCGTGTCGCTCGACGAGAAGTCACGATACTCGCCGACGTCAGAGCGATCAGAGTTGACGTTTCGCGTCATCGGAGCGCGCCAATTAAATCGCATCGCAACAATTAAATTTAACGTCATTTGTGTGGGTTTCGATTGAATAAGACGTGTCGCTGTCTAAAAATTAAATAATAGCTGTGACCTTGAAAAAAGAACATCACATTATTGGAACATTGTGTTTCGGCGCGCGCGTTGCTTGACATAAAAAGTAAGTTTTTTCAAAGTTTTCTCAATGCCATATATATATATGTATGTATATCAATCGAAAATCCGGTCATTTGCGTCAAATTATATGCAACTCTATTGTAATATTAACAAGATTGTGTGTGTGATTTACGAAAGGTATCAATAAGATATTTTCACCAGTCAAAAAAGTGCAATCGAAAAACGACAAATGGCGAGAAAAAGAGAGGGAGAGGGGGGGGGGAGAGAAAGAGAGAGAGCAAAGATTTATATGCGGCGTCTTGACGGAAAGGGTCGAGAAAAAAAAGGATTAACGATATCCCTGTTTAACGCGTTTATCCCGGAGAATGTATTTGATAAAAAAGAAATGAGAAATATTTTTCTTCTTTTTCAAAGAGCGCGACATTCGCACTTTCTGCCAATGGCGCGAAATTGCGCGCTTACGTAATCGGTAAACATGTCGCAGCAGCTTTATAGCGCGCTATCGTTCGAAATAATAATTATGCAACTCCCACCGCGGATTTGTTCCGACGCGATGTAGGAAACGCGCGTGTATATACATATGCATCTATAAAATGCACGTCATTACTTTGATCGACGATGATCGCGTGTTTCGGGCGCGTCTCGTTGCGAAGCACATGATCTACGTCGTATGATCTCTACAATTTTTTTTATGTTATACAAATATTGCCTTGCTGGCTTTAATCTTCGTGGTTGTTATACAAGAAACAACGAAAAATTTGTTAGCGAATATTGGACCATCGTATTCGACAAATTTTCGTTGGTATCTCTCGTAGATTGACACTTTTTTTTTTCGCCTGTTCTTTACTTTTCGTAATTCTCTATAGCATTCTATATAATAATATCTCCGAATTTAAGTTATATTATTCCATATCAGAAATATAAGATCAACTACATTAAAAAGAGAGAGCTAATTATTTTTAAATATTATTATTTTATAATTTAAAGATGAAACGATGAATATTTTATATCGGACAATTTCCTTCAATCTCAGAATGACATCGGTTGTTCTTGATTCGAAGCGGAACTGATATGACAGCTATTAGGTATAGCGAGTGGGGGGGGGGGATGTTATATTATGCTGAGTTTGACGAATGATCGTTGCGATTAAATATAAATGCTCGCGTATTTACGGTGAAACGAAACCTAACGTTCTCACGAATCACTCGGGATGAAGCATTCTCTGTTTACGTATTTCACTTTTGATGATTCTGCACAAGAGGAGAATCTCTGTTACTTTTTCCATGTCATTCAACGTCAATGATCATATTTATAAAAACGTTGTTTACGCGATTCATTTTTTTTTCCTTTCTTGTCATTTTGGACATTTCATCCGCAATGATCGTCCAAAGTGGAAGAAAGTTGGAAATTTCTCTTTACTTTTCCTCACACATGAAACAATGTGTACAATCACTTCTGTGAATATGCTTTATGCCGTGTATTTTTCTTATGCTTTTGATGATATCCACAATCATCTCGAAACGGTAATTTACAAGCTTTCCTTCGAATTGATTAATTTCTCTCTTTTACATTAAATTACTTTAATTATATGTATGTCACACATATATCTGTACACAGTTTACATTTTTCTATATTATATAAAACTCTACCGATAAAAAAATATGTTCTATAATCCTCGTTATTCGCTTACAAGAATGTAATTTCACGTAAATATACGAGAAATTGCGTATGTGAAATACGCATGTATTACACTACATAATTAATGGTTAACACGAACTCATTGAAATCGCCAGGAATTCGTGATACAGAGCTTGGGAAATGCTGATACAAACTGCTTGCGGAAATTCGTTTATGGGCGAAACGCGGGGGGATTAGTAGAGGCTTCTCAAGGCACATTACGCATTATATTATAGATTGCACTCGCGATGGTGCACGTCGACGCATCGTCACTTCCGCGGTTTGCCGGCATCGGAGAGCGCGTACCTGCGAGGATCCCTCGGCTCGTCGATGCACCGCGTAAGCATTGCATAAATGACTCGTCGTGTCGTGCAATTCGAGTGTGTACCGCTGGACCGCTGGTTCAAGTCCTCGATACGCGCGAATAATAATGTCCGCGATTGTTGTCTCGCGCCTTCCAGATCGCGAACGCTTCCGATTTTATCGCGGCGGATTAAATATATCGTCGTTAATAACAATAGGTATGTAATATGTTTTACGAAAAAAACGAAGAAGCGCGTGAAATTAATGCGTTTATTTTAGATAGGAAAATGTAGTCCTAAAATAAAGATTGACAAAGCTATTAGATTGCTTCATTTAATTTTTAGTACAATTTTTGTTTACATGTTTAATAATTTATTCGTGGATGTCTTAATTTAACATGGGAGAAGGGGAACTATCTCGATTTATCTGGTGAAACCGGTATGAGACTGTTATAGCTAAGTTTGTTGCTCTCTTTTACCCAAATCGAGAACCGTGATTCCGAACGCAAATAAAGATTTTACTGGAGAAGTCGAGTATTTTTTCGCGATATTTAAAAAAAAAAAAAAAAACGCGATATATAATTTATAGACAAACTAGTTTCTAAAGAATATTCTTTCAATATTTTACGATGCTATTGCCAAAGTCAATCTTATTATGATTCTAGCATATCATCAGTTTTCGAATATAATCGCAATGTCATAAAAATCATGCAAAGGATAAGAAGAATTGGTTGCGTTGTGGTGATAAAGGTTTTATCTGTTTGAGAATGACTGGAAGCAGTAACTGATACCTTTCGAACAATAGAGAGATAGAAATGCGCGTTTATACAGTATATTTATAACTCGAAGAAAATAATATGTGGAAGATATCGTGTGCTACTTGACTTATATTTAATGATAAATGTATTATAAACATTCCAAGATGCTTATGTTATAATCGCGGAGAAGTTCGGGTCTATTATCATATATTTCGTAAATTTTATAATTTGTAAAATCTAAATAATATTTTTCATCATTATAATAGATAATCGGTAAATCAATCATTCGTAGTACTTTGCGATATTCGTCATTCATGAGGCAAAACAATAATATTTATCAAACCATACGCACCGATGTACTTCGATAAAAATTAAAGCGAATATATTTGCAATCTGCATAGTTTGATAAAATATTTAACATTTATGTGCAACTTTCTCGCGAAGGACATGCATAATCCATTAGTCGCCAAGAGAAGTAAAGCTGAAAACGCGCTTGGGGATTACGTATTACGTCGCACCGCCAGAAGCAGCGAAAGGATTAAACGCAATTGATATTTTTTTTTTCGTGGAACTGTTATTTGCGCGCGTTGCAAAGTAGGAAGAGGTAACGCGATAGATTCGATCGCACGTGCTTCGACATACACTTGTATTCGTGCAAAAGGTTCAGCTGATACTCGAGGCGAAGAAAGCGTGGCCCGGCAATCGTTGAGAGGTCCTCACACGATCGGTAATTACTATCGGCGTTTCGTATATCGATAGTGTCAGTGATTACGCATGAACGATACCGATGAATTCTTGTAGCTAGAAAAATGATGACGCCAGTGATAATATTCATAAGTAACGACAGTAGTGTTGTCGAGTTATGTAACAATGATAATGCGGTTCCGAGATTTCTATGATTTACTCGTATGACATGCCTCTCTCGCTATTATTTAGGGTTGCATTTAACGGTAAATGTGATTGTTTAATTTAGAGTCTTGATTTGCCTAATGTGAAAATCGCTTTGACTCGACATTGTACAGATTTAAGCATTTGGCGTAAAATGCGCGACGAGAAAATACGGATCCCTGTGTGTCCCCTCTCATACCGCAAAAGTGTGCGAGCTGCGGTATCGCGAAGAACTGTGGTATTAGAAATTACATTCACATTCGCAAACCACAATGAAATGGCGCTAACATTGAAACGAATGTGTATCTTTCCAGATATACAGACTTTCTCTCTCTCTTTTTTTTTTAAGTCTTATTCTCGCTCTTCAATAAATTAATGTCCAATCCTCTTGATATGTAGAAAATGAAATACGTTTTGTCAAATCGATTATTTTCCGGTAGCGCGCGCCGGGTGACTTCCGGATGTGCGTTTCCGCTCTAACGAGACGCCGGACAAGCGTTCTTATAAGGGCGCCGATATGTTCGTTCGCCGCGGCGCGGAAGTCTCCTAGTATCTCGCATCCGTCACATAGTCGTTCTTCTAGATTTCTAAGTGTGTCTCACCTCGCGACCGGGAGACCGGCTACTATTCTCGTCCTCCGAGACACGTTCCCGGACGCGACCGTCGGCAAATATATCTACGAGCCCGCGGCTTCGGAGACACCGCTTTTGAGTTTCGCGTCGTTTCACGTTTCCGCCGCGACAGTGTTTCTCAAAGTTTACTGTAGAAATTTTTAGACATTTTATTTGCCTTCAATAGTTTTTACCTCGAAAGATATCTCTAACAATCTTTAGCTTGATCACCTTCGCGTATCTGTGTTGTTATGAATTTTTATCGTATCTATTACTTTTTGTTATTCCTTAAAATCTTGTTATATACTTTAGTTGATTTTCTAGACAATTTTTCTTGTAATTTTTTATACACGTTATGTTACTCTCTCTCTCTCTCTCTCTCACTTCTGTTATATACACTC